TTATAAAAGATAAAAATAAAATAATAAATATAAAATCAAAACTAAAATAACATAATAATATAATAACAATATCATTGATTTTATCTTATTTTATTCTTATTTTATTTATCTTCTTTCATTATTTTTATTCTTCTATTTTATTAAATGAAAATTAATGAGAAATGAAGAATGAAAATCAGAAACAACACACAAACATTAATACAAAATCAAATAATGAAATATCAAATAATAATTGATTATGATGAAGTAATTTAATAAGAAATATAATAAATAATAATACAAAGAATGAAATAAAATAATATGAAATAATAATAATAATAAAAGAAAAAGATATAAATGATGATATTAATAATAAATGAAATTATAAATAATAATATAATGAAATAATCATTCATAAAATAAGAAATAAAGAAATGATAATCAATGAGAATAATTAAAATGATGAAAATTAAAAAGTAATCAATTCAATTTAAATAAAAGAAAATACAAGAAATAAAATAAAAGAAGAATGACTTATTCACAAAACAATTAGAATAAAAACTAAATAATAAAGAAATTACTCATTTTAATAATGTATGTTGTCATTAATATTCATTAAACAACGAATAAATGACAATTTTATTAACATTCATCTATCCAATTTTTATTATTTTGTATATTAAATCTTTTCCAATGCAGGAAATATATCAAATTTTAATGCCATACTTATTGTATAATTCCTTTGTGTCTTATAAAGAAAAGAAAATAAAAATAGAAATTCAATGTTATATAAAAAAGTAATGGCATAATAACAACAATGATATAATAATAATGGTAAACGATATACCAATGAAAATGAATTAGAAAGAGAAAGATACAAAGAAAAACAAATAATAAACAAGATAAATACAATAATAATTACACCAATAGCAAATATAAGTGATTAACAATAAATGATATACAAGAAAGAATAAAAAGAATAAGAAGTGAATGGAAAAATGAGAGTATTCAGAAATACTCAAGAAATAAGAAAATAAAAGAAAAAGATGATATGATAATCAGATAAGAAGTATATTCAATCAAAAAGAATAAGATAAATGAATAAAGTAAAGAAAATTAAAGGAAAACAAAATACAATGAAGAAACGACATTAAAACAAATGAAGACATTAAAAACAAAAAATCAATTAAAGAAATGAAAGAAAGATATAAAATTACAAGAATAATAAATAACAAAGAAAATACCAAGAAATACA